TTTTGTAACAAACAGTTGTTATTAATGAACGTGGAGAGGCTGTCAACGACAGCAATGCATCCGTGCAAAAGAGACCTGGCCTGCTCGCCTGAAACTGGAGTGTTTCTCTTCCACCAAAGACCTCAGGTCTTCTCTTAAATCCCCAACGCATCCACAAGCCGAGGCCATACTTTTGAGTCAAGCCCAGATCGTTGTTTAAAAATGAGACTGTACAGAAAGTCCACTGTGACATGCTCACGCCATGCAAAATTGGAACAGCTGCAAAGCACATGAAAAGTTTATCATTGTTATTCTTTGTTTTTGTTTTTTCTACTTGAAAGCTTAACTACATGGTTCGAGCACGGGCTGTGTTTTCTAATCGCTCCACCTCTAACAAAGCACCTCAGGTCTGTTTCCATACATGTCTAACTTATGATGAAACAAATGTGGATTTCACAGTGTGTCTGAAACGCGCACGATGTCCTTGCAACAAACGATCCATACCTTCAGACATTCAGAATAAAAACAACAACAACAAGAAAAATATGGTTAATTCCACATTTCAGGCTATAGCTCTCCGCAAAAGACTCCAAAATATCTCCAGTGTGATCAAATCCAGGAGCCTCTACAGAACTGTGCCGCCTCTCTTTACAGGATTTCATAGCGTCCATGCAGCCTCATCCAACAAGTCGATACTTTGACTGTTTTTATGTATTTTCCCCCACCCTTTTTGCAGCCGTTTTCTTTTTCTTAAGGTAAACAATACATACCTGCCATTCCATCATTTTGCCCATAATTGACATTCTTTATCCTCTGCTTCCTTTGGCGGTTTGTTTTGGTCCGATCCGACGGCGCGTCTATTTCATTAAGCCTTCGTTCGCAAAAGTAAACCTTTACCTGGGCCGGAATCGCTTCACCTGGCCATATGTGGAGCCACCTGGCGACGCATGCGCACTGCTCCGGGTGTGGACCAGAGAGTGGCGAGCACCTGGGAAGAAAAAAGAAACAGCTTGTCTGTGTCTGTGTGTTGAATAGGTCTGAGCTGT